TTTCTGATGAAGGGTCTAGGCCCGAAACGTCAGCCTTTCTGCTCCTATGATGCTGCTTGGCCTGCTGTGTTCATCCAGCTCTGCACCTTGTTGTCTCGGATTCTCCAGCATCTGCAATTCCTACTATCTCTATCAGAGTCGTTACAGTTTTATGAAAGGTAAATTGTGGTGACTAACATACTAAAGTTCTTCAAAGATACAACAAGCATAGTGGATAATGTAGATCCTGTAGATGTGTATCTGAACTCCCAGAAGACCTTTGATAAGGTATTACACAAGGGAAGGTCACACCAAGGCAGAGTAATTGATTGGCTTGGATACAGGATTGGCTAACCAATATAAAGCAGACAGGTCAGATAAATTAGTGTGTTTTTTGAATGGTAAGATGCAACTAGTGAGGCGCCACAGGGCTCAGTCCTCGAGCCCCAACCGTTTACAAACTATATTCATCACTTGGACATGGAGATAGAAGGTATAATAGCCAAATCTGCAGATGATACTAAAATAGGTGGAAAAGTAGGCACCAATGAAGGAGTAAGAAAATGACAAATGGATATGGATAAGTTAGATGAATGGATCAAAATTTGGTAGGTGGAGTTTAGAGGATAAGTTTGAGGTTATCAATTTTGATTGAAAGAATAAAAAGGCAACTTATTATTTAAATGGGACGAAATTTCAGAGCTCTTTGCTGTAGAGGGATCTGGGTGTTCTCGTGCGTGAATCAGAAAAAGCTAATATACAGGTAGTAAAAGGGAACTCAAGGTCAATTTATTCGAGTTCTTTCAGAAGGTAAAATGTGCTGCAGATAAAAGGGGAACTGCTGGGATGTAGTGTACTTAAGTTTCCAGAAGACATTTGATAAGGTGCCACATCACAGATTATTAAAAATTAAAACCTATGATGTACGGTGAAGCATATCGGTACGGACAGAAGGTTGGCTAGCAGACAGGAAGCAGACAATGTGTGCAAATAGCTATTGCTCAGGTTGGTTCAGCAAGCTGTAATAAATGGTGTGCCACAGGAATCAGTGCTGGGACATCATCTGTTTACAATTTATACAAATGACTTAGTTGAAGGAACAAAGGTACAGTTGCTAATTTGTCAATGAAAATAAGATGGGTAGAAAAGTATACTGTGAACAGAAACAAAGACATTGCTAAATTATGTAGGTACTTAGGTTAAGTGAGTAGCCAAAGATGTGGCAAGTGGAAGTATAATGTGGGGGAGAAAAGCCCATTTTGGCTGGAAGAATTTAAAAAAAATCATGTTATTGAAATGGTATGAGATTCCAGAGCTCCAAGATGCAGATAGATCTGCGTGTCTTCATGCTTGAAATCACAAAAAGCTACAATGTAGCAACAAGTAATTAAGAAGGCTAATAGAATGTTACCATTTCTTATAAGGAGGAAATGAATACAACAGTAGGAAGGCTCTGCTTCATTACATAGGGCTCTGGTAAGACTGCATCCGGAGTACTGTACTGTAATGTCACCCTAATTAAGGAAAGATGTAAATGCATTGGAGGCGATTCAGAGAAGGTTGACTGAACTAAAACCTGAGATGGACAGATTGACTTAGTAGGAAAGATTGGACAAGCAAGACATGTGCCAATTGGAGTTCAGAAGAGGAAGAACAACTTAAATGAAACATACAAAATCCTGAGGGGTCCTGACAATATAGATGTGGAGTGAATATTTCCTTTTGGGGACAATTGAGAACTAGGGGTCATATTTTAAAAAAGACTTTCTCCCAGAGGGTTGCAAATCCTTGGAACTCTCTTCCTGCAAAGAGGATGGAAGATGATCTTGAATATTTTTAAGGCAGAGGTAGATAGATTCTTGTTGAGCAAGGGGATGAAAATATAACAGGGGTAGGCAGAATTATGGATTTGAGGTTAAAAACAGGTCAGCTGTGATCTTACTGAATGGTAGAGCAGGTTTGAGCTGAATAGCATACTTCTGCATTGCAAGTTCCTAAGAATTTATGACTGCAAATGTAATCAGCTTTACCTGAAGACTAAAATTTTAATGTTTGCCAAGCTGTTACAAAAACAATATTTATTGCTAACTTTTGAGTTAAACATTCAATATTCATTGCAGCAAAGAATAGTTCAAGATAATCTAACAGTATGCACAATTCTCATGGAGAATTAGCAATAGAAGCATGAAGAAGGAAATTAAAGACTTTTCTTATGTACATGGTCATCCAAAAATAGAAAGTATTTCAAGCAGCAACTGAAACTTAGTAAATCATGACATTTAAGAAAAAGATCAGTTAACAGTCAATGAGAAAAAGCAATGGAATAAAAATGGAATAAAATTAACATATAATTCTGATATGGAGGCAGCACCAGTATGTTAAATGGCTTTCTTCTGTCCTGAAGACTTTTTTTTTTTTACAGTCAGTAGGAAAGCATTTGCAATGCATAACAGTGATAGAAGGATCTTGCAAGTACCTACCATGAATATATTTGACAACATTGAGACTGAGTCCATGGCGAGATATGATCATGAGTACCTCTCCTGCACTCTTTCTCCAGAGGATATTATGTGGAGGACACCAAGAGGTTATAGCACTGAACAGAAGCTGGAGGTCATCTTTCTGGGCTAGCTCTTCTGCTGGTGACACATACTTGCAAAGTTTCACTAAAATCTAACAGTAAAACAGAAGTTATAAACTAAGATGCCAAATCAGTGACTATTTGAATCTTAGGGTCATAGAGTCACAGAGTCACACAGCAAGAAAACAGTCCCTCCGGGACAATTTCGGTTCATGCCGACCAGACATCCCAATCTGACCCAGTCCTCTAGGCCCGAAACGTCAGCCTCTCTGCTCCCGTGATGCTGCTTGGCCTGCTGTGTTCATCCAGCCTTGCACCTTGTTGTCCCCTATTTGCCAGCATTTGGTCCATATCCCTCTAAACCCTTCCTATTCATATACCCGCCCAGGTGCCTTTTAAATGTTGTAAAAAATACCCATCTCCATACTTTCTCTGGCAGCTCAGTTCACATACGTACTACCCTCTGTGTAAAAAAAGTTACCCATTAGTCCCTTTTTAAATTCTCCCCTGCACACCTTAAACGTATGCCCTCTAGTTTTGGACTCCACCTACCCTAGGGAAAAGGCCTTGGCCATTCACCCTATCCATGCCCCTCATGAATTTACAAACCTCTATAATGCCTCCGACGTTCCAGGACAAAAAGCCCCAGCCTACTCAGCCTCCCCCTGTAGCTCAAACCCTACAGTCCCAGTAATATCCTTGTAAATCCTTTCTGCACCCTTTCAAGTTTAACAACATCCTTCTTACAGAAGGGCAACTAGAATTGTACACAGTATTCTAAAAATATTATAAAACTTAATTTTATATAATGTTGGCAATTGTCAACATTCATACAACTCTGTTAATCTTTCAAAACAATTGCTTTATGAATATTGCTAAAAAGTTGAGTAACTCAGCAGTCATCGCATTAATCATTCACAATCACGGGATCATTTTTTTGAATTATTCATATATCAAGTAGTACTACAGTCATCGACAAAACACAATTTGCTTATTGCTTCAATAATTAGCAGCACATATTTTTTAAGACTGAAAATAGTCCAGGCTCTGCAGCACTGTTGAAACGACAGGTTTGACCAAAACAGAAACTAATTGCTTTAGTAAGATCTCAGAATAAATCAAGTCAGCAGCAGCTACATTCTGTCATAATTGTTCCCCAAATATCTTTTAAGTTATAAACAGATCCAATATCTGGCAGTTTTTTGACACTCTCAATGCAAGAATTATTCAGTTAACAAACAAATGCTATGTTGCATTATTGTCTACAGGAGAAGCACCTGCAAATGTAGCACATTGAGCCCTAGCTCTTCAAACTTTCAAGAAAAAAACGTTGCCTCGAATTTTAAGCTCAAAATCCATAAATTGTAAATAATACTTAACTATGTTTCCTTAAAAGCATGAACCTAGACTTTTGGCAATTTTTTTTAAGATTACAATTACTATTTTCCTTCAATTTCCCAGCACCCAATTGACAATCATAGCCAAGAATATGTTTATAGTATTTCACTAATACCTCAGTTCTTGATAAATAAGGCATGCAAGATCGACCATACATCATCTTTCCTTCAATTTTAGCACCAGAGGCACATGGCATAAACAACTCATCTGCATGGAAATGCATCACATATGGCTCAGCTTGCTGAAGATAATATTATGAAGCATTTTGTTTAACAAAAACATGCTATTCCGCAATATTTTGCACACGGGAAGCTAAATCAAACATGATATACTGAAGTTTCAATGTATCAGCCCCTGAAACCTGTAGTTATTGGAACCAGGTGGATCATATTGCATCTCGTGCTTAGAGGAAGCAGGAACGCCAATGCTTTCTCTTAGCATGAGGCACAATAAGATCCACCTGGTTCCAAGCACTATAGAACTATAACACATTGATGAGCTCACTTGGAAAAAGGTGGCTTGATTAGAAAGGGTAAGTATGGATTTCTAAAGGGGAAATCATATTTCATTAACTTAAGAGATTTTTGAAAAGGTAACAAAAAATCAATTAGGCTAATGTTGTTGACGTAGGATACATGAATTTCCAGATGGCATTTGATAGAATGCAAGAGACTGTTGAGTAAAATTTAGCTCACGGTACAAAAGAGATGGTGGCAACATGATACCAAATTAGCTGAGAAGCAAGGTTATAGTGATCAGGGGGGATTTCAATATGCAGGTGGACTGGGAAAATCAGATTGGTAGGGGATTGCAAGAAAATGAATTTGTGGAATGTCTACCAGATGGCTTTTTGGACCAGTTTGTGATGGAGCCCACTAGAGAACAAGCAATTCTGGATTAGTGTTGTGTAATGATGCAGACGTTGTTAAGTGAGCTTAAGTGAAAAAACCCTTAGGAGGCAATGATCATAATATGATAAAATTTAATCTGAAATTTGAGAGGGAGAAGGTGGATTCAGATATAACAGTATTACAGTTTCAGGGAGTTAGGTTGGAAGCTAAAAGCCAGGACGAGCAGAGTAGTAATCTCAGGATTACTACCGGTGCCACGGGCTAGTGAGGCTAGGAATAGAGAGCGAGTGCAGCTGAACATGTGGCTACAGAGCTGGCGTAGGAGGGAGGGCTCCAGATATGCGGACCATTGGGATACTTTCTGGGGAAGGTGGGACCTGTACAAGAAGGACGGGTTGCACCTGAACTGGAGGGGCACCAATATCCTGGGAAGGAGGTTTGATAGAGCTCTTCGGGAGGGTTTAAACTAGGTTGGGCAGGGGGAAGGGAACCGGAGCTACGGATCAGAGGATAGGGGAGCTGGTGTACAGGCAGTTACAGCATGCAGAGTGTCTGTGAGGAAGGACAGACAATTGACAGGGCAAAGCTGCAGTCAGTGCGACAGGTTGAAGTGTATCTACTTTAACATGACAAGTGTCAGGAATAATGGGTGAGGAACTTAGAGCATGGATTAGTACTTGGAGCTACGATGTTGTGGCCATTACAGTGACTTGGATAACACCGGGGCAGGAATGGTTGTTGGCTGTTCCGGGGTATAGATGTTTCAAAAGAAATTGGGAGGGAGGTAAAAGAGGTAGGGGAGTGGCATTGCTAATCAGGGATGGTATCACAGCTGCAGACAGGGACGTCGTCGAGAAGGGTTTGTCTATTGAGTCAGTATGGGTGGAAGTCAGAAACTGGAAAGGAGCAATCACTTTATTGGGAGTTTTCTATAGCACCCCCAACAGCAACAGAGACACTGAGGAACAGATTGGGAGGTAGATTTTGGAAAGATGCAGAAGTAATAGGGTTGTTGTCATGGGTGATTTCAACTTCCTTAATATAGACTGGAACTTCCTAAGTGCAAATAGTTTGGATGGAGCAGATTTTGTCAGGTGTGTCCAGGAAGGATTTCTGACTCAATATGTAGATAGGCCGACAAGAGGCAAGGCCAGATTGGATTTGGTGCTTGGCAACGAACCAGGCCAGATGTCAGATCTCTCAGCGGGAGAGCATTTCGGTGATAGTGATCACAACTCCCTGACCTTTACTAAAGTCATGGAGAGGAATAGGAGCAGATGGTACGGGGAAGTATTTAACTGGGGGAGGGGGAATTACAATGTTATTAGGCAAGAACTGTGGAGCATAAATTGGGAATAGATGTTCTCAGGGAAATGCACAACTGAAATGTGGGTGTTGTTTAGGGAGCAATTGCTATGAGTACTGGACAGGTTTGTCCCACTGAGGCAAGGAAGGGATGGTAAGGTGAAGGAACCTTGGATGACAAGACATGGGGAACATCTAGTCAAGAGGAAGAAGGAAGCTTACTTAAGGTTGAAGAAGCAAGGATCGGACAGGGCTCTAGAGGTCTACAAGGTAGCCAGGAAGGAGCTGAAGAATAGACTTAGGAGAACTAGAAGGGGGTATGAAAAAGCCTTGGCAGATACGATTAAGGAAAACCCCAAGGCGTTCTATATTTATGTGAGGAACAAGAGGATGGCCAGCGTGAGGGCAGGGCTAATCAGGGATAGTAGAGGGAACTTGTGTGTGGCATCAGAGGAGGTCCTTAATGTATACTTTGCTTCAGCATTCACTAGTGAGGGACCTTGACGTTTGTGAGGGCAGCGTGAAATAGGCTGATATGTTCGAACAGGTTGATGTTAAGAAGGAGGATGTGCTAGAAATTTTGAAAAACATGAGGATTGATAAGTCCCCTGGGCCAGACAGGATATACCCAAGGTTTCTACGGGAAGCGAGGGAAGAAACTGCTGCACCTTTGGCGATGATCTTTGCGCCCTCACTGTCCACTGGAGTACACCAGATGATGGAGGGTGGCAAATGTTATTCCCTTGTTCAAGAAACGAAATATGGATAATCCTGGGAATTACAGACCAGTCAGTCTTACTTCTGTGGTGGGCAAATTATTAGAGAGGATTCTGAGAGATAGTATTTATGACTATTTGGAAGAGCACAGTTTGATTAGAAATAGTCGGCATGGCTTTGAGAGGGGCAGGTCATGCCTCACAAAACTTACTGAATTCTTTGAGGATGTGACAAAACACATTGATGAAGGCAGAGCAGTGGATATGGTGTATCTGGATTTTAGCAAGGCATTTGATAAGGTTCCACATGGCAGGCTTATTCAGAAGGTAAGGAGGCATGGGATTCAGGGAAATTTGGCTGTCTGGATACAGAATTGGCTGTCCAATAGAAGGATGATAGTAGATGGAAAGTATTCAGCTGGAGCTCGGTGACCAGTGGTGTTCCGCAGGCATCTGTTCTGGGACCTCTGCTCTTTGTGATCTTTATAAATGACTTGATGAGGAAGTGGAAGAGTGGGTTAGCAAGTTTGCCGATGACACGAAGGTTGGAGAAGTTGTGGATAGTGTGAAGGGCTGTTGTAGGTTGCAATGCGACATTGACAGGATGTAGAGCTGGGCAAAGAAGTGGCAGATGGAATTCAACCCAGAAAAGTGTGAAGCGATTTATTTTGGAAGGTCGAATTTGAATGCAGAATACGGGGTTAATGGCAGGATTCTTGGCAGTGTGGAGGAACAGAGGGATCTTGGGGTCCACATCCACATCCACAGACCCCTCGAAGTTGCCAGCCAAGTTGATAAGGTTGTAAAGAAGGCGTATGGTGAGTTGGCTTTCAATGGCAGGGGAATTGAGTTTAAGAGCCGTGAGGTTATGCTGTGGTTCTATAAAACCCTGGTTAGACCACACTTGGAATATTGTGTCCAGTCCTGGTCGCCTCAGTATAGGAAGGATGTGGAAGCTTTAGAGAGGGTGCAGACGATATTTACCAGAATGCTGCCTGGACTTGAGGCCAGGTCTTATGAGGAAAGTTTGAGGAAGCTTTTCTCATTGGAGCGAAAAAGGATGCGAGGTGACTTGATAGAGGTGTACAAGGTGATGAGAGGCATAGATTGGCTATCCACTCAGACATTTTCCCAGGGTGGAAATGACTACTACTAGGGGGCATAATTTTAAAGTGATTGGAGGAAGGTATAGGGGAAATGTCAGAAGTAGGTTCTTCACAGAGAGTGGAGCGTGCGTAGAATACGCTGCCGGCAGTGGTAGAGGAGTCAGATACATTAGGGACCTTTAAGCGACTCTTGGATAGGCACATGGATGATAGTAAAATGTAGGGTATGCAGGGTAGTTTGATCTTAGAGTAGGATAATAGGTCGGCACATCATCATAGGCCGAAGGGCCTGTACTGTGCCTGTACTATGTTCTACAGTGCCTGTACTATGTTCTACAGTTGAATAAACGCAACTTAAGAGGCATGAGGGAGGAGCTGAACAGAATTGACTGGGAGAGGAGCCTATCAGTAAAGACAGTGGAACAGCAATGGCAGGAGCTTCTGGGAGTAATTTGGGAGACCCAGCAAAAATTCATCCCTAGGAAAGAGAAGCAGACTGAAGGAAGAGTGAAGCAATCACGGCTGACAAGGGAAATCAGGGACAGCATAAAAGCAAAAGAAAAAGTATATAATGTGGCGAAGGGCAGTGGGAAGTCAGAGGACTGGGAAGGCTATAAAGACCAAAAAGGGGACAGTGAAAAAAGAAATGAGGAAGAAGATTAAATATGAGGGTAAGCTAGCCAGTAATATAAAAGAAGATTACAAGGGATACTTTAGATATCTTAGAGGCAAAAGTGGACATTGGACCACTGGAAAATTACACTGGAAAGTATTAATGGGGAACAAAGAAATGTTTGAGGAACTGAATAAGTGCTTTGCGTCAGTTCTCATGGTGGAAGACATTGGTAATATCCCAAAAATTCAAGACAGCTGGGGGAGGGGGGCAGAGGTGAATATGGTGGCTATCACCAAGAAGGTGCTAGAAAAACTGAATGTCCTGAAGGAGATAGCTGAAGAAATAGTGGAAGCATTAGTGGTGATCTTTCAGGAATCACTGAAGTCAGGGAGAGTCGCAGAGGACTGGAAAATCGCCACTGTAACTGTAACCCCTCATTTAAGAAGGGAGCAAGGCAAAAGATGGGAATTTACAGGTCAATTAGCCTGACGTCAGTCATTGTTCATTGTGAAGCATGAGATTTTTGAATACTTGGAAATACACGGTAAAATAGGGCGATGTCAGCATGGTTTCATGAAGAGGTGATCATGCCTGGCAAATCCATTAGAATTCTTTGAGGAAGTAATGAGCAGTTTAGACCAAGGAGAGCCAATGGATCTTATCTACCCGGACTTCCAAAAAGCCTTTGACAAAATGCCACACAGGCAAGGTGCTCGCATGGATAGAGGATTGGCTGTCTGGCAGAAAGCAGACAGTGGGGATAAAAGGGTCCTTCTCAGGATTGCAGCCGGTGACTCATGGTGTTCCACAAGGGTCAGCGTTGGGACCACAACTTTTCACTTTATACATTAATGATCTAGATGAAGGAACTGAGGGCATTCTGGCTACAACTGCGCAGATGATACAATGATAGGTAGAGGAACAGATAGTACTGAGGTGGTGCGAGGCTGCAGAAGGATTTAGACAGGTTAGCAGAGTGGGCAAAGTGGCAGATGGAATATAACGTGGGAAAGTGTGTGAGGCCATGCACTTTGGTAGGAAGAATAGAGGAATGGCCTATTTTCTAAATGGGGAGAAAATTCAGAAGTCTGAAGTGCAAAGGGACCTGGGAGTTCTAGTCCAGGATTCCCTTAAGGTAAACTGCAGGGTGAGTCAGTAGTTAGGAAGGTTAATACAATGTTGTCATTTATTTCGAGGGGAGTAGAAAATAAAAGTAGGGATGTACTTCTGAGGCTTTGTAAAGCTCTGATCAGACCACATTTAGAGTATTGTGAGCAATTTTGGGCCCGATATTTCAGAATGGATGTACTGGCCCTGGAGCAGGTACAGAGGAGATTCACGAGAATGATCCCAGGAATGAAAGGCTTTAACAAATGAGGAACGTTTGAGGACTCTGGGTCTATACTCTATGGAGTTTAGAAAGATGAGGGGGGGGATCTATTGAAACTTAATACTGAAAGGCCTGGACAGAGTGGACATTGGGAAGACGTTCCACTGGTAGGAAAGACTAGGACCCAAGGGCACAGCCTCAGGAGTAAAGGAAAGGTCATTTAGAAATGAGATAAGGAGAAACTTCTTCAGCCAGATTGCGGTGAATCTATGGAATTCATTGCCACAGGGAGGCTGTGGAAGCCAGGTCACTCAGTATGTTTAAGACAAAGATAGATAGGTTCTTGATTGTCAAGGGGATCAAGGGTTACAGGGAGAAAGTGGGAGAATGGGGTTCAGAAACTGATCAGCCATGATTGAATGGCAGAGCAGGCTCGATGGGCTGAAAGGCCTAAATTCTACTCCTACATCTTATGGTCTTTTGTTTTATAACACTTCTACGAAATGCCTTGCGAGGTGTTATTGTGTTAACTTTACCAGAAGTCATTGTAGTATGACCATCACCTAAGAAGCAAAAGCACAACATTAAAAAGCAGCGAATCTGAAGTAAAAACAAAAATTGCTGAAGGAACTCAACAAGTTAGGCAGCAGCTATAGGGAGATTCATGTTATTAGTTGAACATGACCTTTCTTTGAAAACAAAGCCAATTAAAGAACATTGTTCAACTCAGATGAGACTATTAATTACCTCCACAACTGAAGTTGAATGGGAGTAATAGTTTTGTTAGTCTGTAAGCAATATATCTCAAAATCTAATGTATGAATTTTGACAAAATTTTGGTACACAGAGCAGGACCCAAGCAAAAACTTATTATTTTTTAAAGTTGCAAAGGATCCTGAAATTCTTAAAAGGACCGCAGGGTGAACTGACCTTTTCTACAATGAATGTTACGGGTTGTTTTATAGAGAAATAGAGACGTACAGCACAGAAACAGACCCTTTGGTCCAACTCATCCATGCCGACCAGGTATCCTCAATTACTCTAGTCCCATTTGCCAGCATTTGGCCCCGATCCCTCCAACTCCTTCCTATTCAAATACCCATCCAGATGCCTTTTAAAATATTGTAATTGTACCAGCCTCCACCACTTCATCTGGCAGCTCATTCTGTCCACGCACCACCCTCTGCGTGAAAAAGTTGCCCCTTAGATCCCTTTTATATCTTTCCCCTCTCACCTTAAACCTATGCCCTGTCGTTTTGGACTCTGGTATACTGGGAAGGTTTATAAAATCATGAGAGACATCGATAGGGTGAATAGCCAAAAGACTTTGGAAAATAGGACAAAAGGAAAATAGCCGCAGCCTATTCAGCCTCACTCCAAAGCTTAATCCTTCAACCCTGGCAACATCCTTCTAAATCTCTTCTGAACTCTTTCAGGTTTCACAACATCCTACAGCAGAAAGGCCAGAATTGCACGCAGTATTCCAAAAGTGGTCTAACCAATGTCCTGTACAGCTGCAACATGACTTTCCAACACATTTCATTTAAAATGTAATAATGCTATGGACTGTCTCAGCTGTTGTGATTGAATTTGCTGTCAAAATGTGAGCAGAGTTTTCACAGCAGGTTGCTGAATATGGATTGGCCTGAAGCCTTCTCAGTGAGATGGAACCTCGTAACAAAAAGATTTCTCTTTTGAGCTTAGTAGTTAAAAAGCAGAGAAAAACCTCTGAGGAGCTGCGTGATTGTGATACCACTGAGTTAATATGGTGTGAGCAGAGTAATTCCCTCCAGTGAATGCCTCTTAATTTGTAAATACAGAACACTGATGATGGCTAACTTAGCAATGTGTGAAACCATTTAGTGGAAATGTCATGAGGGAGTATCAGGATAAATATTAAGTAGATTCAAACATAATAATATTTCACCTGCACAAACACTTTCTGCAACAGTGCCCGTCGTTCGCTAAGTGGTAAATCTGTCTGAGCTCCTCCAGGGGCATCAGGCACATGTGGGAGATCGAAGAATAGGTACAGGCATTTAACCAGAGTGGAAGGCAAAGACATTGTAGTCATGTAGTCCACAGTCTTCTGTTATTAATGAAACACAAAAAGATAAATTCTAATTCACATGTAATAGCATTGTGATCTGGCAGAAAATCAAACACCTCAAAATGTAATTCTAAGCAATAAAGCTAAAATCACCCAACTAAGTCATAGGTCTGAGGTCTCATCCACCTAATTCACTCAAAGGAGCCTGTTCATTTATCAACTTATCACATGGGCCAAACAGTATTTCATTTTAGGAATAAGTATACCTAAATTGGATTGAACATGAATGAATTGTCTCTTGCTGGTCACCCATAGGATGTGGTTCTCATTCAACAAATCAATACTTGTCTCATGCAAAAACCTATTTTAAAAAATTAAAGCTCATACTTTGTAATTGTTAGCTTCTCTACTGGTGCTTCTACCTGTGCTTCATTTCCAAGGTTAGTTTCTGACAACAGAATTTTCACGCTCCAAGGGACAGAAACCAAAACTACATAGTTAACGGGCATTTTGCAGAATTGGCAAGATGTGAAAAATGCTTTCCAGCAGGTCTTTTTAACCACTTGTGTTTCTTAACCCCCCCGCAAAAAAAAACTTTCCTTGGAATCCTACACCACTTACCAAACCCTTAATCCTTGTTTTTGTATTTAATGCCAATTTGTATGAAATCCAGAATCTCAGTCTTTTCATTTCCCCTTTCATTTTTAAAGAAATATGCAGTCGTAGACTTTGATACCTTTACGCCCACTTTGTTAGGAGTTTAATTCATTAGGGTATATTTTCACTGATGGCACATCATGCTATTCTAGTTGAAGACGAGGTGCCAGTGTTGCATTGGGGTGGAAAAAGTTAGAAGTCGTACCACACCAGGTTATAGTCCAACAAATTTATTTGAAATTGCAAGCTTTTGGAACGCTGCTTATTCATCAGGTAAAGTCTGAGTTTCTGTAAGAAGTCTGTAGTGTCGCGTCAGAAGCTGGGAGTTCCTTGAACAATGGGTTTCAAGAAGCCCTCAACACAGCCATGGAGGTTCTCACACAGGATCTCATTGCCTGATACAATGGGACAACCAGGTGTGTTAGCTTTGTGTATCTTCTGAAGGCAGAAGAAGTCTCCTATGTGAGAAGTACGCAGGATGAGAGTGCAAAGGATACTCTGAAAGTCTGGATCAAAGGTCTTGGCCAGTCTGTTGAGTTGGCAGGTGTGTTCTTTGGTTTGATCAGCAGGTAGTTGTCTGTAGTGTTCCTAGTTGTTCAATTGTCTGTATGCTTCTTTGCAATAGTCCATTGTATTCTGTATGACGATAGCTCCTCCTCTATCCGCTGGCTTGATGACAATGTTGCAGTTGGTCTTGAGAGCACAGATGACGTTGTGTTGTGCCTGGGTGACGTTCTGGGCTATCTTGTGAGCACAGCTGATGAATCTGGCATTGATGTATCTCCTGACAGCTTGAACAGAAATGTTGAGCCTACGGCAGCAGCCTTCCAGACGGATCCAATTTGACTGTTCTTTGGTTGCTGCACTGCGGATATCTCTGGCAACTTTTCCGGTTTATTGGTTGTCTCATTGGACTTGCTGCTGACACCTTGGGGTTTGTGGAAGAATTCCCGGAGCGTCATTCCTGCGTGTCTGCCGCAAGACCAATGGGGTCCATTTTGGTAGACAGGCAGAAATTAAGCCCTCAGCTGAGAACTTTCATTTTGTCTGGTTGAAGGGTGTAGTCAGACAAGTTGACAATGGACTTCCCTGTGGTGGTACCGGTTTCGACCACTGTCACCAGGGGAGGCTTGGTTACAGCTGATGGTGATGCCGAGTTTCTTAAATTACCTGTTCTTAGTGTGCATGTAGGTAGCGTAGTTCCATTGCCTTGTCTACTTGGTATCTCGTAGCTGGTCCGCTGTTTCCTGAGCTCAAGCCGAGAATATGAACTCTATCTCCTTCCACCTGACAAAGCAGCAGCACTCCAAAAGCTTGTGATTTCAAATAAACCTGTTTGACTATAACTTGGTGTCATGTGACTTCTGACTTTGACCAGAATAGCATATCATTCCCATTGTGTTCATCTATAAATCATTACTATAAATGGAAAGTAGTTAATGGGGGGAACAATTGACCGTTTTTCTAAAGCACTGGATCACACATGAATTACCAGCCACTTTCTCAGCCTGATCTGCCACATTCAATGATTATGCAAATATACCCTCAAGTCCCTCTAATCCTACACTTCTTTTACCATTGTATCCTTTATTTCATATTTTCTCTTCGTTTTCTTGTCAAAATGCAACATTTCACACTTCTCCACATCAAATTTCATCTGTCAAAGGTCTGCCCATTTCAGCCTTCACTGTCTTAAGATTTACACCATTCTCACTTTCAAGCCTCAGGTCTTCAATCTGACATTACATGCCTCAGGTGGTTCAGAGTGCAATTAACTTTTTTTTGCTGTTAAGTCCCACCCCTCCACAATAGAAACATAGAAAATAAGAGAAAGAGTAGTACATTCAACCCTTCGAGCCTACTCCTCTGTTCATTATGACCGTGGCTGATAACATGTTCAAAAGCATGTTCCTCCTTTCCCCCATATCTTTTGAGCCCTTTAGCCCAAATGCTTTATCTAACTTCTTCTGGAAATCATACTATGTTTTGGCCTCAATTGCTTTCTGTGATAGTGAATTGCATAGGCACACTACTCTGGGTGAAGAAATTTCTCATCTCAGTCCACATCCTTAAATTGTGACCCCTGGTTCTGGACATCCCCAGAATCAAGAACATCCTTACAGCACTATCCTGTCTCTCAAAGTTGTGGCACTAAAGTTCCCTACTGTCCCTAGACATCAGAACTGCCAAAGCTGCCTTGGTGCGGGTGCGTTTCTTCAATATTCGTTAAACCTAGGCCCAACTCTGGCTACAGATTGTAATTTTGAAGATGGGTTGCACATTAAGATTTCACATCAATATGATTACAAAACCTTCCCTTTTTGATTAGGAGAACATCCATGCACGAAGTCTGTTAAGAGTGCACAGCACTTTTGCTTGAAAAAACCTTCATAAAAATCCCCTAATCATTGCCATTCTGCTTCTAATTCAGTGCAGTGTAATGTGATAACAGATTTAGCTCAAACAAATGTGCTTTTCGTTGATTTAAAAAAAATAAAAATTCAAAACGTGTGACAGAGAAGGAATTCAAAGCAATGAGGCATAAGGAATTAAAGATTAATGGACAGCAAAGTTCCCACTAAGTTGTGTTAGAGTGTTGCAGCACAGCACCCTCAAATATACCACGCAGCAATGGTCCGCAAATGCGTGCATCCTTGCTGAAAAAAATTAAATGGACTGCAATTTGAAAGAATCGACTGGACACAACTAAATTTTAAAGGGAACATGAGTAGAAAGACAATTAAGAGATGTTTGTTTCCCTTTTTGTCTAAGTATTAGTTACAGATCTATCAGTATAAAAATAAATGCTTGACTGAAAGAATAAAATATGACAACAGGTTCCACAACATATGTTTTGTCTGTAAATTTGACTTGTTATTTTGTAACTCAGCTTCACAAATAACGGAATTGCAAATACACATCAAGCAAACCACAATGCTGTACATATTTAGGAGTTAGCAAACTATGAAGACAATTTTGTAGGATACATTCTTAATTGAACAACCTCGGAGAAGATCCAGCCATGTTAGTGAATACACCAAATATGCCTAAGGTTTAGTTTCAACTAACCTGCCCAGAAGATGCAAGTAAGTTGATTGTAGTGAGAAGCATCCAGCCTCTGCTTGATTCTTCGCTTTGATTAATCTCCAGAAATTGGACAATGGCACGACTAGCTGCCTCTATGGACAGAGGAGGAATCAATAAATAGACATACTGTGGCAAGGAACATAAAGAAACTGGACATAGGAAGACCCACAGCTTGATAGTTACAGACATTTTAGCTGACAAAAACACCACAATTTCAAATTAAAGAAATAAACTGACTTATCCAGGGCTCCGCTGCAAAGACTTAGACAAATAACCACAGTTCAAGATTTTAAAGGAACATGAGGATAAAAATATTGAGCCTTCCTGGGAAAGAATAAATACAGTGAAGTATTTTGTGGCTCTATTGCAGTACAGCATTGAACAGAGAGCAGCATAAAATTGGTGTACTAACATCACAACTTTTCTGGAAGTTACAATGACAGTGGTTTGCTTACATATCTGATGTGGTTATGACAAAAAAATGCATACCTAAAACTTACACTCCTTTTCATATTTCAATTAGAAAACATTTAAATGAAATGTCAAAAGCTAAATGTCGCTGATCTGCATTATAGTTTGACAGATGCAGGTATACAGTCATGATTTCTTAGGTGGTAACTTCCTTTGGAAATGTAAATAGATAAACTCTAGCAGATTCTAAACATCTCCAAAGGGAAAGAAAATCTCAAAGAAAAGCTCCTCAAAGTTGTTCGATAGCAACCTTGGCAAGGGTGTAGAATTACGATGTCTGTCAGCCTCTTTTCATCAGGAAGGTATGGTAGCACGAAGGTATCAAAAAAGTTTCCACTGGCGTCAACTTATTTTCAAGTCTGTAATTTCTTCTGTTCATTCTATTTATGTTACTGTTAGTTCAATAGGGCATTAATGGTCTTTGATTAAAAGAAATCTGGTAATCCTAAAACATTTCACACTGTATTTTCACTCATACTCTACCTACACTAACTTTCTCTTCTGTAGATGTATTATAATATTTCCACTTATGAACTGTAGTTTCCATTTGGTGATTGATTTGTTTCAACTAAAATACAAGAACTGTCAGTTCTTCATCTTCCTTTGAACAGAAAAGGTACAGCATCCAAATCGTAAGTGCCATGCATGACAGAAGATACAAAAGTTGAACTACAACAGAAAAAGAATGCTTATTACACAGATCAGGAGCAAAATGTGGTATTAAATGTCAGAATATCAGGACAAGTACTGCATAAGTTGAAAAGTTAATACAGGAAGCAAGAGAACTACGAGTAAAGATTAGTATGCAACATTAAATTGATCCTTAAAACATAAGGGCCAAATCTCCTGATAAGGAGATAATTGCTGCTGAAGTAGAGGCAGCAGTGCAGCTTCAAGATCTTGTGCAAGTCTTGATCCAGCTGACCCCATGGGAGATGGTCAAGAAGTTCAAACTTCTAATGAGCAACTGCCCAACGCATAGCACCCTCTGTAGAAGTCCCCAGTTCTGAGTTGAGGCAGAAACTTTGTACGGTTACAGGTTAGAGGAATTAAAAGCTGACCTAAACTCCCGGCTAATGATAAGAAAGTGATCCTACCAGGCTCACCATTGACTTCCATGCACACCCCCTCAGTGACCTGACCCAACCCAACTCTCCCAACCACTGATCAAATGAGCCAACCTCCAACTACCCACTGTCCCTTCCACTACCCCATTTCCCCGCCCAAAACTACTTAACAGCTTCCAACCAACCGTGATTGCTTCACCCATTTATCTGCAATCCCCAACCCACATGGCATCTGCACGCCTTCAACCACTTTCCAACCTACCACTCCAACCACCTACACACTTAGCTTCTCTAAATAACTGGCTTTATGTCTTTAAACATGGAATTTACTGCTGCAGAAGACAATCCCACCCACTGTTATGGATTTCTGGACTTGACTGAGCCGTTTTGGTGTGAAAGTCTTTCACCTGGAAGTTTGCCTAGCACACTGCTCTAAGGAGGGAAAATCTTGTCTGATCTGAGTCAGAAATAGTGATTCTGTCATTCAGGCCAAGTGCAAGAGGTTTGCTGAAGTAAAAGGTGGACTTTGCAGTTTTTGGTTTCCCTTCATTGTCCAAGGTGGCCATCCCTTGCATGGGTAAAATCGTCCAGTGTGTACCCTAACATTACTGTGGGCCTGACTTTCCACAGTGCAGACGAGAACCTGTGTCACAGACAAGGAGATGGTAGATGGCTCCCCTCTTTTCCAACTCGAGTAACAACAAGATGTGCTTCAAAAGAAGCGTTTAACTGTTTAAGTGCTATGACTACAATAAGGCACAGGACAGATGTTATTGTTAGATTTTAAAAAGAGGATAAATGTTTATTTCTCTAATGTAATTGCAATGGCACCCACTCACTTATTCACAAAGGACACATATACAAGTAAAGATGATTACAGAAGAGGGAGCATGCGCTGGGCTGAACTCCACCAGCGTCAGAGGGTTTCCAAAATGAAGATGCTGGTGAGAGGTTATGTCTGGTATCCAGGCCTGGATGCAGACATATTCACGTTGGTGAGGCAATGCCCAGAGTGCCAACAAGGAAAGAAATTACCACCAGCAGCTCCCCCACATTTGTGGGAATGACCAGGTAAACTCTGGACTCGGTTACACATCGACTATGCAGGTCCTTAAACTGGAGGAGCAGTACCTCATATTCCACCTCGGGGTCCCACTGCCCAACGGCCTAAACATGGATTTTACCTGTTTCATAATCTCCCCACCCTCTGTCTCATCCCATGACCGATCCTCCCTCCCATTCCCGCCTCCTTGACCTGACACAACCTGTCCATCTTCTCTCCCACCTATCTGCTCTTCCCACCTCACTGACCAATCCCCACCACTCCCTAACTCCACTCACCTATCACCATCCCACCTACTTTCCCCAGCCCCACTCCTCCTCTATTTGTTTCTGAGCTCCCTTCCCACCCCCCTCCATTTCTGAAGAAGGGTCCCGACCTGAAACGTCAACTTTCCTGCTCTTCCGATGCTGCCTGGCCTGCTGTGCTCCTCCAGCTCCACACTGTTATCTCTGACTCCAGCATCTGCAGTTCTTACTATCTCTTAGGTCAATGTTCTTTGTCATTGTAGATGCCCACTCAAAGTGGCTGGATGTGCACGTAGTTCATTTGTCAAACACAGGGACAACAATAAGAAAACTGCACACATCTTTCGCTTCAAAGCTGAAGGCACAGATACCAACTTTGGAAAGAGGAATTAAAATCTCAAGTGCTCAAGCAGTCAGATTTAGAGGAGGAGAACAGTGTTCTTGGAGGATTGTAAGATTGGAGCAGAGATAGGAAATGACAAGGCCATGTTAGCATTTGAAAACAAGGAGAGTGGAGCTCAAGAGTTTATTATACTTAAAGTCGTTCAGCACAGAAACAGACCCTTCGGTCCAAATTCTTGCAGTCAAAACGATCTTTAGTTTGCACAACTGTCAGACCATGATCTGGTGTATATAGTAGACAGTGATCATAAAGACATTAAAACTACACATTTTTATAAATGTTACACAATTATTGCATAATTAACCATAAAGTACCCCTCAGGAATTTAGCACCAAATACTAGATGTTTCTACAGTCTTTACATGACAGTAAACTTCTGAACTGCCTTGCAAATTATCCTAAAATGCAAAACCTTACATGTAGCTCAGGGAATATTAGCTGTCATTTTGTTGAGGAACTTCACACGTGACACATTAGACAATGAAAACCAGTTGAGAAAAGAAGGACCATGAAGGGAAGAAGAAGAAAAAAGAAACTGAAGATTTTATGCTCATTGATAAATAGAACGCAGCAAGGTTTACAAGAATGGTGACGAGAAAGCATAAAAGGTAGATTATGGGTCTGGGTATCACTAATATGAAGGTGGCTTCCAAAGTGTTCCTAACATGTAGAAAATGACTCTCTCTTCAGCTCTGAAGAGTCATCTAGACTCGAAGTGTTAGCTTGCTCTCTCTCCATGAATGCTGTCCGACCCACTGTGATCTCCAGCATTTGTTGTTTTCAGTACAGATTCCAGCATCTGCAATAATTTGCTCCTAAATTAGCACAAGTTTGGTTTCATTATTACAATGATTTTGACATGCAACACAGGCAACAGTAAATGGAAGGGGGAGTGGGGCAAATCTTTACATTTTAACTGTCATACCCCAGGCCTGAAACATTTCCACAGGCACAAAATGATCTACAACAGTTGTAAACCTAAGCTACAAACTATAACTGATAAATGTATTCCAATTTGCAAGACCTCATAACCAATCAATTTAAATTGAGGTACAAAAATCCTTAGACACAACTGCATGAGGCTAGGACCAGCCTCTGAGAAGACAGGAGTTACCCGATTTAAATAATCTTGATGGCTGCTTGTGTCATTTGTGCACATCTTACTTGCCTGACAGTTAAGGAAAAGGTATTTACATGTTCCATGTACCATACAGTCACAGAGTGACATAGCACAGAAACAGACCCTTCAGTCCAACTCCTCTGCATCAATTAATTTAGTCCCATTTGCCAACATCTGCCCCATATCCCTCTAAACCCTTCCTATTCATGTACCCATCCAGATGCCTTTTAAATGTTGTAATTGTGCCTCCATCACATGCTCTGGCAACTCATTCCATAGGTACAGCACCCTCTGCGTGAAGAAGTTGCCCCTTAGGTCCCTTTTAGATCTTTGCCCTCTCAACTTCAACCTCTGCCCTCTAGTTTTGGACTCCCCTAAGCTGGAGAAAAGACCTCAGCTGTTCACCCTATCCACGCCCCTCATGATTTTATAAATCTCTAAGTTCACCCCTCAGTCTCCAACAGTCCAGGGAAAATATTCAGCCTCTCCCTATAGCTCAAACCCTCCAACCCCGGCAACATCCTTGTAAATCCTTTCTGAACAAGTTTAACATCTTTCCAATAGCAGGGAGACCAGAACTGAATGCAGTATTCCAAAAGTGGTCTAACCAATGTCCTGTACAGCTGCAACATGATATCTCAACTCCTATACTCAATGCACTGACCAATGCCAACTGAGTTTTGTTTATGAAAGCACAAAGAAACAAAAGATTTCAACATCTTCAGTTCCAGACATTGACAGAGGTGGTTTTCGACAGTTTTATTCTTAATTGACGTGGTGACCTGCTGTGAATACCCAGGTTTTAACTTAGGAAACACTCAGCCTGGAAGTCCACTTTCTTGGTTGAGTCTAGGTTCATCAGGGTCCCAATCTAACTATTGCACTCCTAGTAGATTTGTCATGGAAGATTATCAACCCAAGAGCAGTCAAAATATTCTAATGCAGATACCTGTATCTTGTACAATACCTTAAAGGAAAATTAGCAATAAGATAGCATATTGTAGCTATCATTAAGGAAATTGTTAAGAATTCATTGCAGCTATGATTTAAACTGTTATGAGGGTAACCACTGATGAGTAAATTATTTAAGTTTTGGTACTTGCTGTCACATGAATTATTAGTATTGCCTTCTGAACATTATCAAATCTTGATATCTTGTTCCATCTAAAATCCAGATATCCCATACCTGTAGATTTGTTAGAGGCTCTTCTCCTAATTTCAGTCACCATTAAACGCGATACCTGGGCAGCAAACTGCAAGAGATCTGAAAATTTCTCCATCATGGTGCCAGGAGGAGCATTTCCAAATACCTTAAAAGGTGAACAAAAATAATGCATATGAACTAATAAAAACTTAAAGCAGATGTAGGTGCTAAAACTGGCAGTTTTAATTTTTTCTGTTCTTTGTCTCTATCCTTAGTTACATACAACATGTTATTATTTTTATCCAGATAACCACTCAATAGACTGACAACTTACTCATACTGTGAAATAGGATACTTTAATAAATTATATACAAGACAATCATCACATATATTTTTAAAATGTCATTTTCAAATTATTCTGCAGCCATTTCTACTTCAACTTCTAGTATTTTGCCTAAGACACTTAACGGCTTCACTTTCTAGCATTTCAATAGTGTAGTTCATCATTCCCTCACATTGTTTATGTGTTCTATTTCAGTTAAACAGTAAAAAATATCATTACTTAATACTACTTCTTATACTGAATGTATTTATGATATGCAATCAGACATTGTTTTTCCTTTGAATTCCATCTGAGCAGTCTTTTAAAGTGACTTTTAAAAGTTATCGAACTGAATCTTCAATTCATTTTACTCCCCACAGCTGAGTAATCTACTGAGTATTTCCAGCAATTTTTGTTTGAATTATTTTTAGTAACTTATGAATAAATTTTCATAGCTAAAATACTGACATAGTTACATCATTTGACTTTACGTGTAACCTTTCTCATGCCCACTGCTGCAATTTCCTTATTCACCTTTTCAAAAGGTGATTTATTCTCAGTTCCATAATCAACACACTCAGTCATCCTGCAGTTATTTCCAGCAATATCAATAGAAATGGTGGACAGATTAAATAGGGCCAAAGTAATAAATTCAGAGGATAGATGTTAATACAGAATTCTACAGGAAGACTAAAAAGTGACTGGCAAAGCATTGACAATAATTATTAGGGAGTCACAGAACTGCAGGAAGCTCCACAGGTAAATACAAACCTTTTATTCTTAGTTTCATGGAGAATAATAGAACTGATTATCTGGAGTGAAGTGGAGGATTATCTGTCTGTTACCTGGAAAATCTCTACAACAATAACCTGTAACGGTATTTGATTTAAATTCAGAAGGGTAGATCCTAGCTAACCAAATTTGTCACTTTTTTTCTTTATTCATTCACAGGTTGAGGGTGTCGCTGGCTAGGCTGCATTTATTGCCCATCCCGAATAGCCCACAGTCAACCACACTGTAGGCCAGACCAGGTAAGGAAGGCAGTTTCCTTCCCTAAAAAGACAGTAGTGAACCAGATGGGTTTTTCCGACAGTTGACAACGGATTCACAGTGACCATTAGATTCTTAATTCCAGATATTTATTGAATTCAAATTCCACTATCTGTCATGACGGGATTTGAACCCAGGTTCCCAGAACATTATCTGGGTCTCTGGATTAACAGTCCAGGGATAATTCCACTAGTCCTTGCCTCCCCCTTCATGAAGGTAGGGCTCAAAGTGAATTATACACAAGTCTGCAACATATGGAAGCTCAACTTCAAAAACATCACACAAATGTCTGTTAGATAATTTGATTTGTTGGGAGTCAAGATAAGCTTTTTTGGGAGTAGACAAGAAATTGGCTGAAGAGTGGAAAACTTTTAATTGTTAAAAGTGTTACATCAGGGTGGGAGTTAAGTACACACCTGATGAGTTAGATTCAAAAATGTGATGGAAATGCAGTAAATATGTAGATAATAAATTGGATGCAGGATTTGAATTAGAGGAAGAAACTCAAATTGCAGAATGAGTCAGCCAAACCACAGCTGTACATGCTCTTCTAGCAGATCCAATTTATTGTAGACATATAATAAAAGAACTGTACACTACACTCAGAAGTGACCAAAACAATTCTATGAATAGCACTGAGGCAACAGGTAAACTGAAGAGCCCTCAAATGTTTCAGTGCACACCATATTCAGCATATCTGCCCAATACTACTCACACAGTCCGAAGAATGCTCAAGTGCATAAATAAAAAAGTTTAGTCAGATGAAGCTGTCATCACCGTACAGCACTCTGGTCAGCCAACATCATAAATCATTCTTGATGATGGTTATCGAACTGAAACAATAACTCATCTTCTCTCGGATACCTCCTGACTCAAATACCTCCATCATTTTCTGTTTCTTTCAGATTTTCCGCATCTGCAATATTTGCCTTTGCAATATAAATAATGTGTTGGCTTTTGGTTCCCAAAAGAGAAATAAAACACTGAACAGTGCAGAAAAGAGTGTCTGATCCAGAACGTTAAAAAGTGAGTTAGAACAGAAGACTAGGGAAACTTGAAACATTTTAGATGACAAATAAATTAACATGGGACATAAAAAGTAATTATACTGAGATCATACCCAAAGGATTGGTCACAACATATTAGCTAGTAAAGTGCCTGCCAGTTATTTCATCAAGATATTATAATTCTGCCTACACACATGACCTATCTAGGAGACATTATGGGTTATTGATTTCAGATCATTATAGTGGTGCTTCTGGTTAGTTCCCAGGCTGGAATCTGGGAGTGAGAGAGTGAGAGAGTGAGAGTGCGAAGGGGGTTTGAGAAGAGGGGCTGGGATACTAGTCAGGTCCCAGAGCTAGAAAGCAGCTGTTTATTTGGGTTCATTTATTTGGGGGTGGATGTCATGTCACGGTTCTGGGTGGGGTGGGGAGGGGGGTGTTGGGTTACGGGGTCAGGGACATGTAATTGGGGTTGGTGTGTTATTATACCTCCAACAAATTACTAACAAGAATGGAAATAATACCCAAAACATACTGAAAACTGTCAAACATATGTCACATTTAATCCAAAACTAAAAACGTATGTCAATCTCAATCCAATCTTGCAGGGTGCAGATGATGTTTCAGTGTGTTCATCAGAAACAGAGTAAGGTCATTGTTGGTTCCTTCGCTGAAGCATACAAGATACCAAGAAAGTTAAGGCTCTCTAACAACCAGCTCCTACAGTGCAATACCTCCCTCCACTGGCAAGACCTAGAAAGTGTGGACCATTTTCTATATCTTGACACACTTGAAAAAGTCTGGCACAGATGACAAAGTCTGTCGTAGACAATAAAATTCATCATTTTCCCCTCAGTCAGGGGAAGGCTGAGTTGGCATATTTCAGGAGCAGTGTGTTTGAGGACCAGAATCACAAACCCAAGACTAAGAACTTAGTTCAGTGGGGTAGCAGTGTTCTGTGCTCAAGTGCTTCAGGAACTTGGACAAAATAGAGCAGGTTCTTCAGAGCACTGGACAAGTTCCATATCTTTTCAGTCCGTGGATTCAGATCATAGCAGCTGCATATAAAAACAAAATCCACTGCCTCCAACAAAGGCAAAGAAAGAGTATTATTTTCACTTTCCAAAATAAATTCACTCAATAATTACAATCTGAATGAACTTCCCCATTGATTTTCAGTGTCTCAGGTTGGTTGGCAGGCAACAATTAGGAATCATCTTATTGTGCTAGGGTAAACTTCAGAACTTTAGTAACCGTCATAGATTGAAAGCAGCAGCAATAACTTTGATTGGAATAAACTGAAAGGGACAAGGACGAACATAAACAGGAATCAAAACTATATAAACAAAACTATTTTAACAACTGCTTGAATAAATGGCTGCCTTATGCCACAAGGACAAATTAATGCACTGCAGAAGAATTTAAGGAGTTGATCACAGGAAAGCTGCATCTTCAAACGGACAAGCCAATGCTAAATGTAATAAGAAACAAACAAGCCACTTCTGGTAAGAAGGCAAGCTGCAGATGTAATGGTTGAGGCCAGTTGTCAATACTGTGGACTAAAGGATCATCAATAATATCACACCACAAACCTGAAGTAGAGAAAACTGTAAAAGAATTCAACTTCAGGACTCCTCCGGAGAAGAACACCGCAATGATCAAACCCGGAACATCCAAAGTTCACTTCCACCACTAATTGGGTCATAGTCAAGTTGGGTTGTGACGCTTAACTTGCTTACATGAGGGGTCGTATTTCGGTTGCTACATGCAATAAAGTTTAAATTATTGTTTTAGTATTTAACTGTGAGAGATTTCTTAATAAGTAGCCAAATTAAAGGCAGCTTGTGGTAATTTACCCACAACAGCACTCTCAAAAATGTACTTACACTGGAATGAATTAACCCTAACTTGAATTCAAGGGACATGGCATTGTTACTAAGGCCTGAAATTAAGAAGTTCGGAATAAACCTTCTCCTTGAACTACTGCTGTCCCTGTTACGAAGATATTCCATTAATGCTGTTAGGTTGGGAGTTCCAGGATTTTGACTCAGTGATTAAAGAAATAAGGAGAATATGAAATTTGAAAACTTGCAAATGATGATCTCCTCATTGCATGCGGTCGTAGTTCAGCTAAGTTACATGGGCCACGCGTCTGAGAGAAGGTATTAAAAATCTCAGCAAGCTGGGCTGTGCATCTTGCAGATGTTGATGCCACAGTGTGCCATTGGTTGAGAGAATTACTATTTAAAGTACAGATCAAGTTTCCAGTGTGTTCATTGGAAATCCATCACATAGATACAGAAACTTCTGGCTTTTGTGATGGGTTTCAAAGTCGAGTCTCTCTGAACTATAGTGCAGCTTCTGAAACAGTAGGAAACTCAGGAAGCAGCTTTCTGAATTCCACATTTAACCATGCAAGTGTAATCACTGAAGGTCATTGTCCAACTATACAGGTATTATCATCACCTGTTAATTATGCCAGCTGAGACCTAATCCGTAATTAATCAGGGTCAGCAGAACTGCTTGTGGCCAATGCCTCAACTTATAAATTCAAGGTTTGATTTGCTAGTTTAAGATCTTTATTATCTTATCCTGTTATCTTTACAAATTTAAGTATATGAACATCATAAGTTTCTATGTTTCTGTATCCTAGTTGTCCTTGTATTCCTTCTCCTCATTCTTCCTTTCAAAATTGACTTCAAAACTTTTGTTGTATGAAACATCATTTGTAATGTGTCTATTTAAGAAGTCAATATCCTCCTTAAGTCTTCTATTTTCATTGTGATTCAC